TGAAAGCCCTCGGGGTTCAGGCTTTAGGACTTGGGGGTTTCGGGTTCAGGGTTTAGGACTTGGGGGTTTCGGGTTTAGGGTTTAGTACTTGGGGTTTAGGGGGTAGGGTTTAGGATTAGGTCTTTTTGTTGAGCACCATTTTCCGCCTAGCAGTTAAGGTCGGCGAAACCCACCGGTGTGGGATTAGGGGTTTAGGGTCTAGGATTCGGGGTTATAGGATTTGGGGTGCAAAGCTTAGGTTATATAGTGTTTGAAGGCTAGGGCTATAGCATTTAGGCGAGGAACCCGGCTGACCAAACCCTGAATCCTAAATCCAACCAAAGCCCGATGATGCACAGCGGGAAGGGAAGAAGTGCCTGTCGCAGCGGCGCGTCTGCGAACAAAGGCCCCAGGAAAGTGCGGCCGCTTCGAGCATGACTTGCTGGAACTGCCAGAGCAGCTTCGTAGCGGTTGAAAGGCTTACGCTTAGCGTGTCGGGGTGAGGTTTAGGGCCTTCGGTTGTAAAATTTAGGAAGTAGGTTTTCGGGCCATGGTCCGGATTTGGGATGATTGTCGCAATGTCAGAGGAGGTTGGGAACTGCCGTAGCCAACGGCAACTCCATGGGGTCTAAATCGACAAGTGAACCGGCCAGCCTGTGAACACTCAAGGAAAACATGACACGAAGCCATGGCATGAAGAGGTGGCCGGGATATATATATATATATATATAAGTTCATATGATTTATATATCTTCAGATTTTCATTTATTATGTGTATTCACAGCGCAAGGCTCCAAGATCAGCACAGCGCCGGGCCTCTCTCTGGATGATGGCACTGTAATTCAGCGATGCCCGGGCCATTGCAGCGAAGAAGTCGTCGATCTCGGGGGCGGGGCGGCGCAGGGCCTAAGGCCTCACTACCCAAAGGCCCCAAGGTAGTTCCTTTTTGGGGGTTCATATTTAGAGATCTAATCCCAAAAAGGAAGGCCTCACTAAGGCCTTATTTTGGGTGGGGGCCTTAATAATTAGAATAGGGTTTTGGGGCCCACTATGCTATAGTTATAATAAGGAACCCCAAAATGGCATAGGTAATTATTCAGGCCTCTACATTACGGGCGCGTGAAACAAACCTGTGCTGGAAAATGTGGAGAAAAGACCCTTCCAAGAACCTCAGAAGCTCGGAATTCTGCAGAGGTCAGGCCTTTGGCACCTGGCAGCTGGCATGGTGGCCCTCCGCCGACACCCAGGCCGGCCCGTCGAAGTGGACGGTGCTGCCGTAGTTCAGCTCCGTGCGCCTGGCTGCTGAGGTCTACAAAGATCTGCATCAACTCCCCAACTGCAGCCAAGTTCGAAGCGAACTTCAGATAGACGGCGAACCAAGAAACGGCCAACCGGCATCCCAATCTCATGCCTCTGCCGTGAGACCAAGACATGTGAAGCCTATCCTCACTGGCCAAACCACGCCAGCAATCGCCCGCGGCTCTGAACCCGAAGCCCCCCCCCAAAAAAATCGAGACGGCACCTGATCCGATCCAGCTGGTCTCGAAGTCGCTCCTTGCACGCATAACGTGGCAGCTCCAACCAACTACTATAGGGGGCTTCATAACCCGAATAGGGTTCGGTGTATATTATACTATAATATCTATAATTAGAATACGGCAACCCCCAACAAAGTATAGGTAGTTCTCAAGGCCCAAAAATTTTGTTGGGCTGAGTAGTTGGAGCAGGGCTTCGGGAAGTATTACAGTAGTAAAGTATGACAGGGAGCCGTTGAACCTATTAACGCTGCACTCCTGTTTGGAATCCGCCCACAGTTGCAAAACCCAAGTCGGAGAACGTCATTGATCAAAGGAGCAACTACTGCTGCTGCTGCACGGCTACGGGCCCAACACGCGGCTCATGACGGGGAGAGGAGGGGGGCCTGCACTGCTCAGAAAAATGACTGATGAGCCAGATGTGAGCTGGACACACGAACCCTGCAGGAAGCGAACGCTAAACGAAACCCCAACAACCCCCCGACCCTGTAAGTCCTAAACCTAACTCCCCTAATACAACTCGAACCGGTCCTCCTCTCCGAGGAAATTCAACTCAGTCCCGGATGCATTGCCCATAGTGCCCATATCGCCTCGAGGCCGCTATGAACTAGGAGGGTCAGGAGGTCTTATTGCCATGGCAAGTACCGTCTTGCTCCACATCAGATGAATGTGACTGTCCGAAACACAGACTAACCATGTCGCAGCATCGCTGGAAAGGGTTCTGTTCTGACCCCAACAAGCACTTAAACATAACTCACAAAACACAAAGCATTCGCGTGCCCTATGCAGCAGGGGACCGTCGCTGTGCCGGGTGGTTATCGGATAACACCCCAATGAAAGTGCAAGCGTTCCTGCTTCACCAGCTACTGAGCAGTTCATCTTCTAAAGCATTTCGTGCAGCACCATCCCTTGCGTCTCAACTCGCTTGCATTTGTGTGTAACACACTTGGTTTCTGGCATACAGTCGCGTACAGCGGCATCAAAATCAATTAGATCATCATCGCTGTTCACGATCATAACCATCAACACTACCAACGGTTTTGGGCTTCAACATGATGTCAGGGTTGACCAAGTTGCAGGTTCCAGCTGCCCTAGCAGTCGGTCCGGAGGTACTAAGCCCACTGAGCCGTGGACTCTCGTTCATGGACAGGTTCATGTCCATCGGGCACCAACCTGGGACCAAAGAAATACCCTGATAATGATTGCAAGAACAGAACAACACCTGCTTGCGGTGCATAGGCTTTCGTCACTTTTGCAGCTTCCACGCACCAGATGATCGTGTCGGGCTTGAAACTGGGCTCCACTTAAGGAGCGATTATGTCCATTGAGACTCACGTGAACAACCCGAGACGGATAGGCTGCTAAAGCGCTCACACAGGTCACACTGAACTGATAATCATTCAGTGCACAATTCAAGACACTTTTGGTACATGGTCTAACCGCTACGAGCAATGCCCCACTCTGGTGGCAGTGCTGGCAAGGCTGACTGTGTGTTGATCACCCATATTAATCGGCAGGGAAGAAACTGCTAAACCAAAACTGGTATATACGACAGCAACGAAAGACCGCAAACCGCAAACCGCATACAAAGCAGGCGCTAAGAAGGTCTTGACGAAGTGCACTCGGGAGGGGGGGTTGCATCGTGCTACTACTCTAAGACTACTTCTCCTACTCCCACTCCTATTCTCATTCCAACTATTTCTTATTACTACTCGCACTCCCACTCCCACTACACTGCGACGACGATACTGCTACCACTGCTACTCGCACTACACTGCGACGACGATACTGCTACCACTGCTACTCGCACTACGACTGCGACTGCGACTGCGACTGCGACCACGACCGCTACTGCTGCTGCTGCTGCTGCTGCTGCTGCTGCTGCTTCTACTGCTGCGCTGCTGCTGCTGCTGCTGCTGCTGCTGCTGCCGCTACCGCTACCGCTACCGCTACCGCTACCGCTACCGCTACTGGCTACTGGCTACTGCTACTGCTGCGACTTGGACTGCCATCACATAAAACATCGCACATACCGGCTGCTATTCCCAATCTATAGGTTTCTTGCTATCGCACTCCTGCGCGTCATTGCGCCGGCCACATGCGAGGAAACGGACACCGTACAACCGATCTGGGGACCACGGCCGCGATAGTCCTCTTCGATACCGAGGACCAGAGTTGCCCGCAGGAATCTGGGTTTGGTGGGTGTTGGAGGCACGGTTTCGGGTGCAGGAGGTAGGATTTCGGTGCAGAATGCAGTTTAGGCTTCTTCTTGACGTGGGGGACCGTGGCACTTCCTGCAGTCTGGGCCACCTCTCCAGGTGTTCCAGGATGGCTTCAGGGCACACCACAGCCTCAGAAACGGAGGAGCTCTGACAACTGTCGTTGCTCTTGTCATCGTTTTTGGTGAAGCAGCTGTAGGAACGACAGTGACCAGCACTGACACCGAAGAATATATCGCTATTGATGGCCAAGATGACCATGAGATGCACCCAAATTCGCCCTAACCCCTCGTGACCCCAAGCTCGAAATTTTGACCCCTAAACCCTCGTCTAGATCTCTGTGGCATGGACCTCGGCGGCAGTGCGCAGTGGGGGGCCTGGACAGACTCAGAATGGGCCTGTACTTTAAGGTGCTACAAGATTAGTATACGGAGTGCTACTGAATCCTTGAGGGAACCCTAAAAACGTGCTTGAAGGATTGGCCTGACGGACACTCCTTCAGAAGGTCGATGGCATACCTCAGAGGAAGTCATTTCACGTCATGCTTCCTTTTCTCCTTGACCATGAACTACTAGAACGATTTACATCGATACCTCAAGAACAACCTGACTAACCTCCAAATCTGCTGTGCCGGAAGACCGAAGGATTCACGATTCGGTCCCGGAAGCGGCCTCACCTGCAAAAACCCTCAACCCTAAATCCCAGACCTTCAATCTCTCAACTCCAAACCATGAATCCTGAACAAAACCCCCCAAACCCTAAAACCCATAAATCCTAAATCCTCAAAAGCAGTAACCTTTGGGGTTTAGGGCTCAGGGTTTAGGGTACACCCTCCAAAATGCAAAGCTTCGATCTCCGCGGAACACCCACGACTCTCAGGGCCCTGCCATCCCTCCAAGCCGGAGCTGTCCATGGCCTTGAAAGCTCAGCATCTCGTGCTTAATATAGGGGGCCTTATTGAATAATTAGAATAAGGTTTGGGGGGGGGATATTATGCTAAAGTTAAAATAAGGAACCCCCAAAAAATAGTATCGGTAACTATTTCGGCTCCTACATAAAGGCCTCGGACGTAAGTAGTTTCCCTTGGTTGGGGGCCGTGGGGTCTTAGTCGCAAGGTGCCGGCTGGACTCTCAGAATTCAGATTCGGAAGCCTGGAGGATTATGGGTTCAACCACCTATGAGATCCTATGAGGCTATGATCGATTTTGGGTTCAATGCTATGAGTCAATAGACTCTGCCTGCTTTCCTCGATGCCCGAACCATGGGTTTACCAACCAAATTCTTTGAATCTCCAAGGAAGGGTGGAAAGGCACGGAAAGGGAAAGATCAACCTTGAGCTCAAAGCTGGCTGCCAATACCACCAAGCGTGACCGCTGCTCACGTTGCTGTCGTTGCTTTCGTTTTCATCCTCTTCGCCTCACAGCGCAGGATCCACTGCATCAGAAGTTGCAAGAAAAAAGGATGATGCCATGCACACCGGCTACAGCCTTCGTCATCTTCAGTCATGTTGTCTTCCTCCGACATGTTGTCTTCCGACATGTTGTCGCTTGCCATGATGTCACCTTGGTTATGAAGCACAAAGGCTGGACTCACGCACCGATGCTGTTCCAAAAGGGGCGAACTTCGCCTACGTCGCATGCATGTCGTCCACGTGTGCTGCAACTAAGACTGCTCTGCCGCCACAGGTGCTGTCTTCGGAGGCATTCGGCATATCTGAATCATCTGCCTGGCTCGACCTCACCGTCGCTTGCGGCATCTTGCGGCAGAACGCATGCTGCCGGGACTGCCGAGGCCCCGGCAACCGTCTCATCATCGCAGAATCACTGGTGTCTTCCAGACCTGAACCCAAGCTACGGATCAGAAACGCCAAGAACGATCCGCAACGTCACACAACAGAAAAAACAAGCGACGCAATGCTAGGCACTGCAGCCAGTGCTGTTCTCCATCTCGCTCTCGTTGAGACCGACGGGGAAGCACGCCAGTCGTTTGACGCGCCTGACCGCAAGTTTCGTGTGCACGTCGTCACCCGAAGTCCACGAGGGCCGAACCCAAATAGCTCCAGCCATCGGCTGAGGTGCGCATGGAGCCAATCAAAAGGAGCCTGACGTGCAAGAGATTTGCCGAAGTCTCCAAAGGGTCTCCACAGCATCACTCCGAGGCCTCCGAGGTCTTTGCCCAGAACCGGCATTGCCTTGGGCGTGGCCACACAACAGAAGCCTTTCTGCTTCGAACTTCGAAGCACCTGGCATGTCTAAAAGGCAGAGATCTAAGCTGGCTGCACCCTTTGCTGTCGCACTTCTTCCAGATGATATCCTGCAGTAGGGCGTTGGGCTTTGAGCTTCAGGGGTTAAGGGGTTTACGATTTGGGGGCTTCTGAAAATAGGGGAATATAATATAGTACCCTGTACAGTGGGATCCTTATGATAACCCTCTTTTCGGACACTCCCATTTAGGGTCGCTGCAAACTGAGCGTCCCCAAGGCCGGACTCCGTAAATGAAGGTGCTGGCGCAGAAGCAACAAAAAGTGCCCATCGTTCCGGAAACGGGAATAACAGGAAAACTTAGTAAGTAGGTCATAGAGAATTCATGATATGAGTACCCTAACAGGAATCCTGATAGGGGTTAGCTGCACTAATTATAAGTGTTTCCCTTGAGGTGGCCGAAACCGTGAAGGGGGCCATATTATGAAGTTATGATGCTTCCGTCTAGTCGGCCCCCAATCGAATCTCGAGCGTCTCCCGTATCGTTTGACGACAACAGGAAGAAGCAAAGCAGCCTGCAGGTATTGCCTGCAAAGCCGTCTTCTGCCACGGAGACCCAAGGGAACCCCGCTGGGAGGCGAGTGTCAGGAGCTTCCAAATTTGAGCGGGGTCTGGTGAGAGGCCCCACGACCCTAAGTCATACTTCCCAAGCCAGAACCCTGAGCTCCAACACTCTAAACCTGCAACTCTACTTCCTTGAACCCAAGATCCTTAAGCCCGAACTCCTGAAACCTCCCGAATTCGGAGCTGAATCTCTGAACCCTAAACCCTAAACCCCTAACTCCATAGCCCCTCTAAGCTGACTGAATAGTTCATGGCCTTTCTACCAGCGGGCTATTGCCGGGGAGGAAAACCCAGCTTCGAATTCAGGTTCCTCCAAGTCATCAAGAGTAGCCGTCGGAGAAACCGGTGTAGTAATCAGAGTAGCAGCTATAGACACGCTTTATTAAACCCTTATAGTAACCTTCATAGAAACCATGGCTTCTAGCAGTTATAGTAACCATCACCCTTGTAGAAACCCTTCTGGCAACCATCATAGAAACCGTGACTTCTAGTAGTGCTAACTAACCATCATAGAAGCCATGGCTTCTTGTAGTTATAGTAACCATCACCATTATAGAAACCCTTCGGGCAACCATCACAGAAACCCTAAACCCCTAAACCTTGAACCCTAACTACCCCTAAACCCTATAAACCCTAAGCCCTAACCACACTGGAAACCGTAGCTTCTATGAAGGAACCCCAACCTCTGTAAGAAACCGTAGCTTCCCAGACCCCCGGGAGGATCCAAAAAGTAGATCCCTTGATGGGTTCCTATATAGTACCCGTAGTAGTGTAGGGCCCCAAATTGGGGGATCTACTTTCTAGATTTTTTTCCGGGGGTCTGGGTTCTTGAGGCCTTGCACCGAGGCCAGGAGATTGGTGCCCTCGACGTAGACTCGCGGCGAGACGTGGATCGCGGAGGGCGCGACCTGAGAAGCCGGAGCTTGGAGTCACCGGTGGAGGGGTTTAGGGGTTTAGGACTTAGGGTTAGGGGTTTAATTAGGGTTTAGGGGTTTGGGGTTCAGGGTTTGGGTTTAGGGTCTAGGGTTGAAGGGGTTTAGGGTTTGGGGTCTCGGAGTAATAACAAGGTAACTTTTGTTGCAATCACTAATAACTTTTCGTTCCCCTCAATTGCTTGGGGTTTGTAGGATTTGCCATAGGCCATGCAGGGTGCCTTTAAGGGCGGCTTATAGAATTTGCCGTGGGCTCTGGATCGAGGGAAGCACGAAGAAGCGCAGGGAGCTGGTGACGAGGAGCTCAGTCAGGCCATCCACCACCTCGAAAATGGGCTGTTGGGGCCTGTTCTGTAGGAGTTTCCGAAAATGGGGGGCCATCCTGATTATAGGGACCCCAAATGTAGGGCTTAAATGCATGGCGGAAGGACTTCAGAGTGTGGGGGTTTTGGGGTTCCGGGGCTTACAGTTTGACGGTGTCAGGATCTGGGGCTTTGTGGCTTGCGGTTTAGGGCGGCATGACATGATGGGCATTCTTGGCACTGTCCATGAAAGACTCTGCGGAAGCACAGTAATATCGGGGTGATCTTCATAACATAATCCGCTATCATCCGTGCGAAAACCCAGGTCAAACTAACTACTACGGCCCCCATGTAGAGCTTCCCTGAGCCGGCGGCGAGGTGCACGGAAGTGGATCCTGGATCCTGGACGCTCGACCAGGTTGTAAGATTTCGGGTTTGGGGGTCAGGATGTAGGGTTTGGGGGACGTAATTCTTCGCAAGACAGAGTTTCGATGAGGAGATCAAGCCAGTATAGTAACGGTATGAATGACCGAAAAACATCGATGTGCCACGCTGAGAGAAGTTGCTGAATAATGTCTTCAGGGCAGCCGTGGTACTACTCAGTGCATCTGCTGTCGCCTGTGCGGGAACTTCGCATTCCAGCCGCTCGTTGCCATCTGCACGAGGCCTCAGCAATCAAGACGCTCAAAGACTCGATTTGTTAGCATGGTGTCGTAGTTTTGAAAAGCTCCATACATACCCTGTAAGGCAAGCGCCCGCTGATCAGCATCGCATCTGTGATCACGGCGCCGGTTCCTGGTCATGCCCATGCAGTCGACAGGCTGCACAGCTACGATATCTTGCCTCTGCGACGTATGATCCGCCGGAGGCGGGTGCAAGAAGGGATTTGATCCTCCATCATAATGCTAATAATGATAATACTGGTAATAATAACAATATAATGGTAATACTTATAATGGTAATAGTATGCTAGAAGACCACCGGCCCCAGGCCCCACAATTTCTAAAGACATTTAAGGTTGTCGCTGTTGGGCAAAGTTTCCTATTGGCCTATTGCAGTTGCAGAGTCCTACCAGGCTACGTATTTTGAAGGAGCCTCCGCATTACGACAACCCCAATTTACAGCTTCTCCGCTAACACCCAAACCCAAATCTCAAAAACCTAAACCTCCAATGCGACGGAGGCCACTCAAAGAGACTTGGCGCAAGCCTTCCAGGCTTGTGCCGCCGAAGCGACAGCGGAGGCGAGCCTGGCGTCAGAGTCCGCTTTTGAGGTCGGGGTGTAGAGTTCAGGGCTGGGAAATTTAAGGTCCAGGGCTTTTCGGGCTGGTTGAGGGATTTGGGGTTTGGAGCTTTGGTAATTTGAGGATTTAGACTGCATGGGAGAGGGTCCTATGCTCTTTCGATGGCATGACAGATCATTAGGTGGAGGTCGCACATGTACTGCAGGGGACCGTGATTTTAAGCCGCAATGCCCGGATGCTTGATGCAAGGACGATCCTGAATACGACTTTAAGACATCACCATCATCTTCGTCTCCAGGCTATCTTGCTCGGAGATGTCATCTGAATCTCGCCGGTGATGGCCAGAGGGACTTGCAGACCCTAAGGGTCCAAAGTACCTTTATGGTAGAATGTAGGGTTCCTATATTAGGAATTACTATTATGAGTTGGGGAAGTATCCCCCATGACAGCACTTTGGACCCTTAGGCAGACGGCATTTGAGGCTCCGGGGTCTGCAATTGAGGAACGGGCTGGCTCCACGGGACTCCGACACCCCACTAGTATAGGGGCCTTAACAAGTAGAACAGGGTTCCTTCAAAGGGGTCCTGTAATATAGGGGCCTTAGTAAGTAGAATAGGGTTTTGGGCCGCACTATACTTACAACAAGGAACCCCCAAAATAGTATCGGTAATTTTCAAGGCCCCTATTTGTAGAACACAAAGAAAGGGGCCAAGGGACCCATCCGGATGCCTTGCCACCGGCGAGGAATGGAGCGAAATGCTGCCCTTGGATTTGCAGCATCTGACCTCGGTATCGTATGGAATTAAGGGCTCCTGTAAGAGGATCTATAAGGGCTCCTATAAGATAAGGGCTCCTATAAGGGATCTTCAGGACCGTATTCAAGTGCGATTCCGCCGAGGGTAGCTACTTCAAACATGGACTCTTGACACTCCCAGTGAGTGCAACTTGTCAATATTCGTCACCCGGGCTTCTATGTTTCATTCTTGCTATGGCGAATGGAGATGAGGACTTCAAGAGGACCCACATTCAGCTAAACTCTAAACCCTCAACCCTAAGCCGGCGATGGGGCTCGGGGCCCTAACCTCCCTAAACCTTCAACCGAGCCCCCACTTCCCTCTTCATGGGCCTGTCTTGTAGGCGTAGAGTGTCGTCGGTGTCGCCTCGCGAAAAGCGTCTTCCACGAACGGTAGCATAGCAGCTTTCTGCTTCGGCAAAGAGTAGGAGACATCTCAATTATTTTAGTTTAATGAGCAGATAGGGACTGCAACAACCATGGTGCCAGTGAACTACACTGTCGTGGTCACAACGGTGCCGGCCTGCAAAATGATCGGCTCGCTGACGAACTGGAAAGCCTTCCGCTGTCCACCGCTTCGCGTCCTCCAGACAAGAAGCTTACTGCCGGGGCCTTAATAATTAGAGTTAAGGTTTTGGCGGTTCCGTAATATAACGATAGTATAATATTCCCCCAACCATATTTTGATTGTTAAGGCCCCTACAGTAACCCACAAATCTGCATGATGCAACCGGCCTGATCAACTCGGGGAAGGCCAGCCGCAACGGTGTTTCACCCGGGCTGTGCACGGCCTGAAAAGTCAGGGATGACTTGGACAAAAGTACTTGCTCTTACAAGTATAGTAAGGGTCCGAAGCAAGGGGTTTAGGGTTTAGGATTAGCTCTGACCCATGAATTCAAGAACTTGGGATGTCCGCAGTTTCCCGTCTTCTAGCTCCTGTCGAAGAGCCCCCTTGGCACCGGTTCTTCGGAC